ACATGAGGCAGCACGAGGCTTGCCTTCTATCTTGATAACATAAATAGGCCTTCTAGACATATGTCGACATGTGTCGTCATATGTGGTCCAGACCGCTTATCTAAGCTAGCAGTTGCCGCTTATCTTCTATCTTCATCTATCATTATAGGGCTGGTGAGACCCTGGTATTGTCTATAGCTGTGCACTGGCAGAGGGTTGTCTGGTGGCAGGGGACTCATGCCATGTTACTGTAATATCACTCAAGGTCACCTGTTTCATGTAGAATAGTCAGGGGAAGACAAAGTTTCTAACCAAAAAAAATTATTTATATATATACCTACCCTTACCTTCTGAGCATTTTTCCAGTGAGAATAGATCAGAGCTGTGGTTGTTATCGACAATCCAATCACTGGTGTCAAAGAATGCTCAAGTGTGACAGGTTTGAGTGAAGAATTAATTCTGATTGTGGACTCTCTTGTGTTGTAATCACTCTAGTGCCAATATTGTTACTTGTCAGAATTGGAGGACAACAACAGCCAAGCAACATCACAGTAGGTACAAGTGCAATATGTCAGTGTTCAACCAAGTCTTCTTTTCAAAAGGTTTCAAACAAATTTCTATCTCATTCCTACTTTTGCTGTCTTTCCATAGTTAAAAACAATGTCCAAGCTGTCTAGACATCTCCCTTGTAAGCCACTTGTGACATAATTGCAAGTCCTTTCCAATAAATTTCAGATGATCTTGTATTTAGCCTCAAGAGGGGTCCCTTGCAAGGCACCTTTGGAAATTTCCGACATAGTATTGGGAAGAGACTGGCCATAAACAAAACTTTTGCAAAAATCTGTCCTAATTTATCCCTAAATGAGGTTGCAATCAGCTTGCAAGATTTTTGGATCCACTTCCAAGGCACTTCAAATGAGCTCAGTCAATTGAGGGCTTGCGATGCCTTATAAGGCATGCCAAGCAAAAATAATTTTTCCAACATAAGATGTAAGTATTATACTTTTCTTCCCTCTGTTCATACAAGCAATATACCTTAGAATATATTTGTCTGTCTAGCTTGGTCTTTGTGTGCCTGTTAGTGATGTTCTGGCCTGGCTTCAGACAGCTCTGGCCTGCAAAAAAATCCAAGCAGGGCCAAAGCCACAAATGACGGCTGGCTTTGGCCTGGCTCTGGCTTGAGCCATAGCTCAAGTAGGGAATTTGCAATTCTGATAAGTGAGCATGAGCAGGTCACTGTGAAACCAGGATTCAATCACATGACTCACCTGCATGCTTCAGAACGTAGTTTTGACCTGCATTCCCATGGATGGTGCTAAATAAGTATACCATAGACAAGGAGGCCTGCGTCTTGAGGAGTGTGAGCGAGATCTTGGACAATAGCATTCAGCTGGAGATGTGGAAAGAGTGTCAGAAATCGTATACAATGTGAACTAGGGAGGGAATCTTTGATGATGAATCGTGGCAGTCAAGAGCAGTGGTGAAATGGTCGGCAGCTTCTTCATGACATGTGCCATGCAAGGCTTTGATTCCAAGTTGAACATGTAGATATGCCTGATGTGTGAGTTGTAAAGATGAGTGTTGATGACCAAGCATAGATAGGAGGGATCAATGAAGAGCACATCATACTTTGATAAAGTACACATTTCATGATCAGAAGAAATGAGAAATGTGGCAGGCATGAGTTACTCACAAGACCAAGATTGTGGTGGAAGGAAGACATCAAGTAATATGAATGTTTGAAATGATTGACTGTGCTTAGTTTTGCTCATGGTCCACTAAGCTCAAGTGAAAGCTAAATCATTAGACAGACCTGATTGAGGACAGTGCCAAGTACCTGACAAGGAACATATTAATCCCCCATCCAGAGTCAAGTCTACATGTGCAATGTACCAAATATCCATTAGTAGTGATTGCCTGGTCCTTTGCAAGCACATGAATGAAAGAGCATAGTCTAATTATGAGAGTCAGTATGTGTAACTATGAGCTATAATGAATACATACCTCAGTGAGAGTGACACAACCTGAAACAATGTGTCATAGTCTGTCTTGAATCACAATCACAAGTGTTAGTGAGTCAGGTTTTGGAACAGTTTTGCTGCCTCTGCAAACCCTACAGAGCCACGGCTCGGGCCACCAGCTTTGGCTTTCCAGAATTCCAAGCCAGGCCAAAGCCATGGTCAAGCCGTCACTTTGGCCTAGCTTGGCCCAGCCTAATTGGGCCAGGTGTAGGTATACAACACAGAGTGGGGCTATACAAAGATGGCTCCAAACTGATATCTTTATGTTGTGGTCTTGCACTGCCTATCTGCTATACTTGCGGGACAAGTGCGTTCAACCCAGGGGTCTGTGGTCTGGGAATAGTTTTGGGGGTCAATGAGTGATGTGGGGTCAATAATCCAAGTGTGGGAAACAATGTCCGAAGGTATAATTACAATGTCCAATGCAAAAGCGTCGGGTCTGATGTTTTTTGGGTTTTGGGTTTTGGGTTATTGGGTTTGGGTTTGGTGTATCAGAAACTAATAGTAACACAATAGCGAGCATCAGGAAAGTAAGTGGTGTGCGCAATAATAATAATGATGGATACGGATGGTGAAGGAACGATGATATTCGCAATGTCAACTAAGAACTACGAAATATTGGGTTTGACCCCTAAGCGTCGGAGATGATTCTCCTCTACTCAGATGATGATAATGCTATGGGCAGTCCAATATTTATGTAGATATGTAGAAATCTGGAACCCTATAGGTGAAAGTAGGCACAATATTTCGGGTCTGATGTCCTATGTAATAAGACATGATATACTGCAGACTATGTGAATACATGTAATAACGCGGTCAACAATGTTAGGGATGTGAAAACAAGTAACTACACACCTAGTGGGGCTAGCGCAATGAGACTGGACATAGGTAGGACAAGTGCACACGATATCCAATAGGCCAATGCGAAACCCAATGTCTGATGTCTGATATTTTTGGGTTTGGTGCATATTGAGTTAGGTATGATAGGGAATGATTTGGGTAATGATTAGCATTCAAAATGCATCAGAAAATAGACCTCTATGAGGCTACAAGGACTCAACTTGCTCTCTTCTTCCTCTCCATCATCTCGTCCTCCTCTCAACAAAACCTTGCCATTGACCTCAACCATCCTGGCATCATCTGATGCATAACTTTCTCACTTGGCCACTTACGAGATAAGTACTAGGCCTTTTTACAGCCCAATACATTTGCTGATCCCACCCACTCAACAGTTGTCCATTCTTGCGACAAGTGAGTGCTATTTACGGTGCATATATGCACATATTTTGAACATTGTAAGTTATCTGGCATTGCCAGGTTCATTCACTGACTGTTTTACATCATTGCTAGCTCAATAACATTGTCCCGATGATTGACACTTCCAGCAGCTTCAACAGATACACCATTACAAGACAGTCAATTGGTGAGTTCCGTTAAAAGCTACCCAATGTACTTTAACTGATATCTATTGCTGTAGAAACACAAGAATGAGGCAGCTGCCATCATTGTAAGTACTGTCTGCTTTCCTGGCAAGTATATCTGACAATGATTTGTTTCAGTCAAGGACTCCCTTGTGCCAGAAGCTGGTGGGCTACATCATCCTGGGGTGTGGGTGGGGGTGCTATGGTATATAGAGTACACTCTTTATTGTATTTGGAAATTTGTGTTGATGAGCAAATATGCAGAAGTCAATTGGGAGCTATGGGAATATACTAGAATCTACGCTACACAAACACAATTGATGGTACAATATCTCGCTCAATGTGAGTCGCTAAAAATCTACTATAAGTCTCATCTTTCTCCAGAAAACAACATGAATATTGTCATGATATTTCCATCGTTTTCTAGAGATATGGCTAGAACTGTTTCTCACTGGGGGTCAGGGTTCAGATTTACAAAATTGATACTGTGACACAATGTGATATCTACACCAACCTACTCATGGGAAAATTTTATTGTTTATAACATCTTGCATTGGCATCCCTCTGGCAGCATCTTTTAAATACCTTTCATTCTTCTGTCAACTAGAGCTTTCCTATGATACACATAGCTATAGTTCCATGTAATTATTTTGTTTTAATGTGTGGTAGTTATTTAGATATGAAAATGAGGTCCTCAGATTTTGCAACTCTAATGTGACACACAGGTGTACTTTATCTCTCGGTTGGTAATAAGTGAGCAAAAAAAGTTAACATTGGTTTGTTGAAATGTAGTCTGACTCAATTTCCAAAGTTTGAATGATCCATGCCCAAATCAATAAAATTCCAGTGTACACAAAGTCACTAAAAAAAGACTTGACTGCTTCGGAAGCACTGGAAATCTCCGCGACCTGTCACGACAGGCACGCTGTTTCAAATCAATTATTGCAACAAGGACGTCACGACTAGGCAGGCCGCAAAGGACAGAGGGCTAGCTGGCACGAAAGAAAATTGGCAACGAGCGGGAAAGGTGCTGGGCAGGCAAGGCTGATGAGCGGACAGTGAGCAGAGTTGGGGCGGAGACATGTAGTATTCTAATAATGGCGAGCCGCGGCGTGTGTTGACCAATATAACATTGGCGAGCGAGGTTTAAACTCCGGTGGGCGTGCCGCAGGCTGCCGTTGTGACATACTTTGAAGTTTGGCCTAGACGTTGTCCAAGTCTTGAAACGACACTGAGGGACCCCGAGAGACGTTGTAGCCTAGACATCGCTCGAATGGTTGAGGACAGATTTTGTACTATGGGCTCGACCAAATGGATTGAAAATGATCGAGAACTTCACATTTAAGAACATAATTAGGAACGGAAATTGAAGTGATGGCCGGTGTCCGAGGGCCGAAGCGGGAGGCCACGAAAAAAAAGAGCAACGTTATTTGTAACTTAAGCCAAACTTGAGCCACTTCCAAGGGTCACTGCACCTCACCTCACACTCTTTTTCGCTTGCTGAACCGTCTTCCTTTCGGTCGTATCTTCTATTTTCTGTCTTTCAAATCATTTAATCCTGTAGTACGACCACCCAATCATGTTCACACCCGCTGCTTGGCTGGCCCTCGGGCTTGCAGCATCTTCCAAGCTGGCTGCTGCCCAGCAGGCAGGTTCCTTCGCTCAGGTTGGCAACACACAAGTTAGCGCCATGATGGTACGCAATTGTTTGCCTTGTCATGTTCTGTGCTGAGCGCTCGCTCCGAAGATGTTCCTTGGCAACGAGGAGAAGGTCTACATTCTCGACAAAACGGAGGGCAACGCTGCTCAAATAGATGGCCACCCTGCTTGGGGCGCTGCATGGTACGTGCTCTTGCATTCGCTGCATATTAATAGCCCGCTTAACTTTGCGCCCAGGGATGTCAATACTCACTCGGCCCAGGTGATGGAAGTTTTGACCAATTCCTTCTGCGCTTCTGGTATGCACCTACCAAATGGCTCGTACGCGACATTTGGCGGCAACAATGCAATTGGCCCCCTTGGTTCCACTGGCAATGTTGGTGCAGGCGCATATGATTCGACCTATGGAGATTATGACGGAAGAAAGTCTATTCGTATCCTCAATCCTTGCACAAGTGCCGATGACATGTCGAGCGCTCAATGTCAATGGTTCGATAACGCCACTGTTCTGTCTATGCAGAAACTACGGTGGTACTCCGCCGCTGAGGCTCTTGGTGATGGTAGTATTGCATTGATCGGCGGTTTCGTCAGTGGTGGTTACATCAACCGGAATTACCCTAACACGGACCCAGAATATGAAGGTGGTGCAGCTGAACCAACGTATGAGTTCTTCCCTTCGAAGGGACCTGCAACTGTCATGAACTTCATGATCACTACTTCCGGTCTTAATTCCTACGCGCATACTTACCTCATGCCTTCTGGCAACATGCTCATCCAGGCCAATATCTCCACTGGTATGTCTTATTTTTATGCTCTTGTCCATCTTTCTTACGCTTCCGATCAGTCCTCTGGAATCCTGAGACCAACGTTGAAACACCTCTTCCCAACATGCCAGGCGGTGTCGCTCGTGTTTACCCTGCTTCTGGCGCCGTTGCCATGTTACCCCTCACTCCCGCCAATAACTATACTCCTACTGTCATCTTTTGTGGCGGCTCTGACATGCCCGACGAGTATTGGGGTGACTACAATTACCCCAACTATAACACCTGGACCTACCCTGCTTCCAAGGACTGTCAGCGCCTGACTCCAGAACCCACAGATGGCTCTTCTCCTGTTTATGTCTCAGACGATGACATGCTCGAGGGCCGCACCATGGGTCAGTTCATCATCCTTCCAGACGGTACCCTTTTGGTTATCAATGGTGGTGAAAATGGTACTGCTGGCTATGCTCAGGCTACTGGTCAGACCCCTAGCTATAGCCTCATGCCCTACGGCGAGTCGTTGGCCTCTGGCCCTGTCGGAACTCCTGCCATCTACAACCCGAATTTGCCCGCAGGCAGCCGCTGGTCGAACGCCGGTCTGAGTAACACGAACATTGCACGTCTGTACCACTCTAGTGCCTTGATCATGCCTGACGCTACCGTCATGATCGCCGGATCCAACCCTAACGTCGATGTCAACCTCACCACCATTTTCCCCACAACCTACACTGCGGAGATTTTCTATCCACCCTACTTTAGCGCCAGTAAACGCCCAACTTTCTCTGGTGCACCGCAAACTCTCTCTTACGGTGGTAGCTCCTTCGACCTTACCGTTCCTTCAGGCGTGTACAGTGGCTCTAGCAACGCTGCTGCTGCAAATACAACTGTCGTTCTGTTGCGTGGCGGTTTCACTACGCACGCCATGAACATGGGTCAAAGGTACCTGCAGCTCAACAACACGTACACCGTCAACAGTAACGATTCAATCACCCTTCATGTGGCTCAAGTTCCGCCAAACCCCAATATCTTCACTCCCGGACCTGCTCTCATGTTCGTCGTGATCAACGGTATTCCCAGTAACGGAACGATGGTTATTGTTGGCAACGGTCAAGTCGGGGTGCAACCCACGCAAGCTGCTACTGTTCTCCCCGTTTCTGCTCAAAATCCCTCAGGCTCAAGCTCGGGCTCGGGTAGCAGCTCTTCGACAAACAGTGCATCAGGGAGCAGTCACACTGGTGCCATCGTTGGTGCTGTGATCGGAGCGATTGCTGTTATTGGTATTCTCGGTGCGCTCTTTGGTATTTTTGTGGCTCGACGTCGGCGCGCCGCCAGCCGCCAGCATCCTGCGGCTGCGTATGCCATGAAAGCCACAGGTGACGGGTATGGTAGCGGCGCGTCCCGCGGAAGAGCCACCGATGATCGAGTACGTCATTCTGACTCGAGTGCGTTTGTCCCGTTGCAACAGGATAATTCAAGCACCTCGTGGAATGCGAGTAACACCAGTCTGCATTCACCGTATCGGGATACGTATGGGAGAGAGGGAGCAGATTATGACCCGTATAATTCAGATGGCGCAGTGCAACATAGCAGTGGACAGCGGTTATGAACTTTGGACATGACAATAGAAATGGACAGACGGCGCTTGTTGTGTGGACTATCTCAGTTTTTTTTTTGTTTCTTTCCTGTTGCTCATTCATTTATAGCTACAACTATATATCGCGTGCGGTCATGTTGAAGTTTTCTATTGTTCCGTGTGCTTCAACGTAGTGTCTGTCGTTTTCGGGTGTTTTTGGACTTTTGTTATATTAGAGCGACGGGCGCTCTGTTGTCACTCATTAATGTTGTTACTTACGGATAAATTTGCAGTGGAACGTTGAACGTTCCAGTCGAACTTCGGCAAACATTTTAGTCGAACAAAAGCGATAGATCCTGCTGATGAACGTTGGCGAAAGCTGTAGTGTGTCAGATGTCACAGACCATCTGTGAGGGACGTACATGTGCATGTGAGCATGCCCAGTAGTTCGCAGCAAACTTAGGCTGATAACGACTCGGTCATATTCTGGATAGCTGAGGGGAAAAGGCAGGTTTGATCTAAGTCGAGAACAAGGGACCCTGCAAGAGAGGCGAACTGTGGCGCGGTCGGTTGAACTTGTGCTATCGCTGCTCTCGTCGAAAAGGTCAGTTACGTGCTCACTAGTGTCAGCCTAGCTGACACAAACCTGCTGAGACACTCGCTAGCTAGTAGCACCATATCATGATGGGGAAAGCTAGTACGAGTGGAGTACTTGCACGCACACAAGTCTAACGTTATAAGTAGACAGTGGCTAGAATACCGGGTCATAAATCTACACCCTCGGTAAGCATTACCTCAACTCAAGTTTATTCTGTGACACATACGTTCACATGAACAACGCTGGTGACACCGAGACCAGACAAAAATAGAGGCCTCGAAATCGAAGCACGGTGCGTATGGCATACGTATGTATTAAACACCTCTAGATGTGTCCCCAGTTGGGGAATGAGAAGCTCATGACCGAACTCGGTTTAGGTGGTGGGTCGTACTATCCCTAGGCAGACTGACAAATAGAAGGATGCCGGTTCTTCAAAAGTTGCGGTTAACTTATTATGGGCTAGACTGAAAGTTTCGGCGGTCTGTATCCACAACTACGACTCGGAAGCCGCATACAAGGGCCTACCGTAGCCCCACCGATTGTACATCTCCACTCTCAGGCCGTAGCTGCGTCATGGAACGTTCAATACCCTCGTTTCTTACTCCGAATAGGCTCGTCGGAATTGACTAGTCGGGATTAAGAAGGTCGTATGATGTATGATACGCTGGAGGTATGTCTTATCGCATTAATCATACCACATCTTTTACAAATTTTGAGTTCCGCATCCTACCGATGCGACGTCGCGCGGATGCCAATATTGAACAAGTTATCAAGTCGTCTTGCTAGACACTTGTCTAGTTGCGGTATGGGGAAAGACGACAAACCAAGATCCAGACAAGTTATTTCTTTCATTTCTTCTTTTTTATGATACTCGATAGGCACCTGGGAATCGACCCTGATAGTCGCCCTGATCGGTCCCGGAGACACGAGGCAAAGGTTACATACAGAAGGAAGATGAGGGTCGTCTGCGCTGGCCATTACAACCCCTATCGACTCGGGGTGACGTTTGCCAAGGCTCGCGTGTCATGGGATGTGAGGATATTCTATGAGCCAATCCGCTTCTGCCCCGTTCACCCCCGTCACGAATGATCCCATCCAAGAACAGCTCTTGTTGGAAGTACGGGTATTGGATCCTCGTCGCACAGCCTGGTTGATGTAAATGAAACACTTTTATGTCTATTTTTTCCTGCGCAGATGATCACAGACCTTGATATGATCACCTCCACAGCTTTGGTAAACGGTTCATTGGTGAAATGATGAGGATTGCTTCGAGGCCTATCATCGCTCTGCCAAGCCGGTTAGAAGACTGCAAAACTTTTCAGCCAAAGAAGGATAGATGTCATGGATGTATACCTATTTGGCAATAATAGCTTCTTGAAAAACGTGACTATCGTGGACGCTGGTTAAGCGGATGCAATTTTGTGCTAACCTATGTTCGATTGATCACATATCGTACGTGCCTATCTAGAATCTCATACATATGTGATTTCGCTACTCATCATATATTCTATCAGATTTCTCGGAAATTGATGAAGAAGCTTGATGATCGGTTCAACCTCGTGGCTGGCCAATGCTCCCGTGAAAGATGCTGATATTGGAGCTGTTCACCTAGGCCTGTGAGCGCTCGTTTTGATCCTATCAGCAACTGTTTTTGAAACAAGGCTATGTAGACACTCTTGGAAATTTGGCGCACAACTGGGTGAGTATCTGCTCATGTTACTCCCACAAGCACCTTTGTCTCCCAACAACCGCCTACACCTACAACCGCCCTTGTGCCTCATGCCCACGGAACCTGTCTTTTTATGAAATAGTCAACCGATCGGTGGAATCGGGGTTTCGAAACATGATGACGATCAAACAAACTTTCATCATCGGATTACAAGATTATGATTACAACGCCGAAGGGTATTTATACCCGGGCCGTTCACTCACTCTTCAATAGTTATTACAGTCCAGCGGTACGTTACCAGAAGGCCAGGGCCTTTTCCATTCCCCTCACGATTCGTCATGCTCTACCTCCAAATTCTGTATTCATTCACGAGCGACGATATCACGACTACCATTGTTCCCATTGTGTGTACTACTCTTTCGCCGTTCTGTTACCGTACACTGACCATATCAGACGCTATTCGCAGTCGTGGCTGGGCCACTCTGCAATTTCCAACGTTTTTCGCACATTGTTTTCTGGATTTGGCTCCATCTACTCCATTTTAATGTCGCCAATCAAATAATCGATCCTCAGGAGGATGGGAAGAACAAGTCTTCTCGACCCATACCTGCAGGACTAATAAGCCTGGAAGACGCTCTTGTGTTACGTTGGGCTCTCATTCCCATATGTCTCGCCCTATCTGCATGCTACAGCTTCCAAGTCTTTGGCTTAAGCCTCGTGTTGACGCTGTTCATAATTTTCTATAATGAGCTTAAAGCTCACGAGCATTGGATCTCGAAGAACTTTATAACGGCAGTGGGTTACGCTTGCTTTGAAATTGGTTCCACTCTTATCGCAGGTTCGTTACCGAACTTCCTATCTCCGAATGAATGTTTTGCTGATTTATTGCTTGAACAGGCAAAGATATGTCACGGTTAGAACCCACCGCAATTTCAGCGATTTGCTTAAGCCTTGCCGTGTTCACGAGCACATTGCACGCTCAGGACTTCAAAGACGTGGAAGGAGACCGTCTGATTGGCAGACAAACGTTACCCATAGCATTCCCCAATGTAGCACGGACATCTATGCTGGTGGCCCTTCCTCTGTGGTCCATCTGCTTGTCTCGTGTTTGGGGAGTGGACACACTCTGCACGCTTGCATTCACAGGATATGCAGCGATGGTGGGGCTCAGATTCATGACCTGCAAGACTTCAAAGGCAGCGCGAATGTCTTGCAAATTGTATAGTGTGAGTGGTGTTCTCTGACTGACGTGCGTCTTTCCTGATGTGAGGTTCTAGCTATGGTTTTCTGTCGCACATCTTCTCCCTGCCTATTGGCGATACTTCCACGGAGAACAGAATTATGCATTTTGAACGTCCTAACTTATTAATAATGCGATACGACTGTTGTACAACCAAGGTTTTGGACCTGTATTTGATGTAGTCTTTGGAGGTTGTAATTTGGTTGTAGTTGTAATCTGTATCACCAAACGGATGCATTTCTTTCATCAATACTTGTTCGGCGATGACATGTGCCACGGACCCGCTAACTTGTCGGCCGGTATCACACAACTCCACCGAGTCGCATGGAGGTCGCCTGACTTATCCACACTCTTATTAATATAACGGGAAGTATATCCAAACTTCAGTATTCTCGCCTGCGACTCAGGCACTTGAGAAAGCTATGAATCTAGATGAGGCTTTATTCTCTCAGGGGTACTGGGTTAAAATGGGCGACGACACACACACGGAAGATAATCTTAGCTGCCAGCCAGTGCCAGGGTGCACACTAAGTATAGTCATCAGTAGCAACTGACCAACACGTATAGGCCGGCCATGTGGAGCTGCAGTGCTTCGTGCTTGTCTGAACAGCCATCAAAGGTAAAATAACGAATGAATGGGACAAAGGAACAAACAAGGGTCTACAAGAGTTTATGAGGATCTCCTTCCTGATTTGGATCAGGCGCTTTTTCGCAGCCTGGGTACGGTGAGTCCGAACGGTCACAGACAGCGATTAGCTGGTGCTTATTCTAAACTTGCAGCAACTTGGGATCTGCTCTAGGTCCGGTGGAAACACTCAGTGACTGAAAAAAGACAACATCGCTCAAACAGTAGACTTTCGAACGTCGCAGCTTGAGTGGGCCATTGACTTTTCCATTGTCCGTCTCTTTCATCTCAGTGACGATTCAATCAATCCTTTTCAACTAACATCGTGATCCAACGTATAAAACGTATTTCTGACGGTCTTTTCTCTCACTACATTTGTTTACAACGAACTAGCACTCTGCAATGGACTGGGACGTGGGGCCATCCCCTTCACAATTCTCCTCATCATCTCAATGGGCGCGCGCCAGTACTCGGCCTGCATCTGCCAACATGAGCATCGACGACGATGTCGGCTACGTGACATGGAAGCAATCCCAACCCGACCCCTTCATCCGAGAACTCATACACAACGCAGAGAGCAAAAATGAGGGAAAACGAGAACAGAAACGTACGTGCTCTCATACGAGAACATTCGAGGTGTTTTTGACTTGCTTTTGTTCTGCTTGTAGCCCGTTTGGATGCGTCTGAGCACACGTCCACATGGGCATCAAGCACCAGCACGTCTGTTCCTCATCGCACGGCATCCCTCCCCGGTTTTTCCACACCATCGACATCGACAAGCACACTTGCATCTACATTCGCGTTTAATTCATCGAGAAAACTACATCCAATGAAACTTATCTCGAAGAAAGTACCCCCGTCGCGTGCGTATTCATCTACCGCACCTGTGAAAGATGGCGTCTCTTCCGAATCAGAACTGGCCGCGAGATACCTTCATATCATACGTAATGGCACTGCAGAGATGGACGAGAATTCGAGGCGAAAGCAAGCTGCGAAGGCGAAGGCAGAAAAAGAGGCTGCGAGTGGCACGCCGGGGGATATCGCGACACGGAAGAATACCTGTGCATCTTCGTCTCTGTCGAGGTCCACATCTACCGCGTTAACTGCAAGGCCTTTAAAGAAGACGGCTAGTATCTCGTCTACTTCTTTTTCTGCACCTCTGCGAGGAAATGTGATCAGTAGATCATCGAGCTCTGCAACTCTCAAGCCTACAGTTAAACTTTCTAGAGACAGTGGCACATGTGGAGACATCCAGATGATGTTGGACTCAGACCGAGATACGGATCGCGAGGGAAGCACTTTCACCGATTTTGCAGGTGACTTCGCTCCAAACGAGTCTTTCTCGATGCACGTGGATGACGTCCTACCACCTCCCAAGCGCACTGTGGGGAGGACCCCCAGTATTATTATGGACACTAGTCCTGCAGCTTCTTCCTCAAACTCTGGGTTCATGCCTCCTTCCAAAGCTCTCACAACTGCATCTACCTCCGTGTTCACAGTAGTTCCAGAGAAGATACCCCAGTCGAGACATGTTGTAGCACCCTCAGCAACTCAACGAGGTCCCCCACCGCTGGGGATGCGCCGGCAACACAACCTCCCAAATTCCGGATTTCCTTTGTCGCAATCGCGCTACGCCACCACGCAGTCGCCCTATGCGGCTTCACAAGCGATGGGACAAAAGCCAGTGACGCTTCCACCCTTCAAGCCTCCGCTGCTCAAGAAGCCCAACTCGAAACCTGCTTCCGCGCCAAAGCGGGTCGTCCAGACTCCTGAAAGCCCGCCGACTTCGACGCCCGAGCTGGTCAAGGACGATAGCAACGATGATGGTGATGATGAAGAGGATAAACTCGGTGCGGCGGGTGCGGATTCGTCGTTTGATGTGTCATTTGATGTGGATGTGGATGCCCTGGAGGCGACCATGCGGCAGTATGATTAATGGGGTGGACGTATGCGTTTTTGATGCCGGAGAAGATACGAGGTGGGTGTATGCTATGGAAGGTGAATGCTATGTTTTCGATCTGTCTTTGATAATCCATCTACTTAGATACATGTACACGCATTCACATATAATACTCACTTTGTGATTTTGAACTGCACATCTGGAATCTTGACTGCTACGTATACTACATACCGGTATACCAGTTACTCGGTATTAAGATGCAAATTCTAGGGCATGCACGTCCTCGTGTGTATGTCCAGGTTATATCTACGCTTGAACAACTGCCTGCAAAATTGACAGACGTGCCTAATCCCTAAATGAGTCGCTTCCACATGCTTCAAGAGGGATTCTTTGTTAAGTTCCGTATTACAACCCATCCACATGCATATGACGCGAGACTTGTCTGAGCCACGAATTCCATGAGCTTCACGTAGGTGATGAGAAAGATCGTGACCACGAATGAAGTCATTGCAAAGTAACCCGTAAGGCATATCCCACATGCACTGAAACACCTCATCGAGAGAATGGTACTATGCAAGGGCCGATTAGTTGTAGTGAGGCACGGTCAGAAGGTCAGCAACTTACGGGCTGTGCGGAAAATACAGGAGTACTCGAGGTGGAGGCAGACAAACTTTCTGCGGGCGTGAACAAACTATCCGTGACCGTGAAAAAAGTCTTCGGTCCATGATCAGGGTGGAGTGGTGGACTGTCGATTGGCTTTTCTGCCGTATCTGACTCATTAGAACCACCACGTGGGGAAGCTCTGGGGTCATTATCGGGTCCATCATCGGAAGGCGGTCCACTACAAGAGTCTTGAAGCTCGTGTCAGTCGATGGTTAAAAAGCACCACAAAATATGTAGAATTACCTGGAGAGGAAAACCTATGCGTGACAAAGTCAAGTACTTTATTTGCTGAAGGTCGAAGTTTGGGTCCGGATTGCAAACATTTCTGGATGAATTTCCAATCAGAGTCTATTATGGCAGGGGGGCGTTGCGGTTGATGATTCTGTGACATCACAACAATGATGAACGCTTCCGACAGGATCTCAGACCAAGGGCGCCGGCCAGAGAGAACCTGGTCAGTCAGCCCTTGTACGAATATGCTGTGATAAAACCAATAACTCACTTGAAGCATTATACAACCAAAAGAGTATATATCAGCTTTCCCCAAAAGCACTGGCAGCTCACGGGTGTTGTCTGGTAGAACGAGTTCTGGTGCTGCATAGCGGATTGCGCCTGGACGTATAGATCTTGCGGCCAAGTGTGACTGGCCTACGAGGGGTTCTGTAATAGTGGAAAGACCAAAGTCAATTAATCTCGCATGACCTCCCTTGTCGATCAGTATATTTGCCTGTATATTCATGAGGTTTCAAGAATGATACAGCAGCTCTGGATTTACCCCTGTTATATCCCCGTGCATGACAGCTCTCGAGTGCACTTGCATCAAACGTAAGCTACAACTTGAACGTCTTGAAAAAAGAAACTAACGGTAACGAAGTCCAGCGCTGACGTCCTCCAGCTTGCAACTTCGAATGAGTCTTGAAAAGTAAAAGGATATGATGAGAATTACTCACGATACGTGAACGATCCAGGACTGTTAAATCATGGTGCTTAGATTTTAGGTATTCGTTTAATGTGCCATTTGGCATCCATGGAGATACCAAGCAGCGCAACTCTGATATTCGTCCAAATCCTCTCGCTACACCCCACAAGGGTACGATGTTTTTATGGCGTAGAATCTTCAATATGCCGATGTTTCGTCTGATTTTCTGGGCGTGTCCAAAGTAAGTACAAGTTAGCACGGGCTACTATGCGGTTCTCTACCCTGATTATTTTCTCTAAATCATCATGCTTTTGAAATCTGAAGCCTTGACCGCAACCTTGTCAATCAATGTTCCGACCATGATCAGCCAGTTGCATGGTAAATTGAATCCAATACATGGACTGACGAGGGCAGAAATATCATTTGCAGCATGATTGTAATTGCATTTCCAGACATCGCCATATGAACCTCCACCAACGTGGTCTATAGTTATTCGAGTGATAAAGGGCGTCAAATCGTCTGGCAAGTCTTCCATGCTGCAGCACGGTCACACGAGAAGTTCAGTAAAACAAATATGGCGACATACCTTACATTGTCGTTCTCCATACTTTCTTGATCAAAAGCGATGAAAGGTCGACTGAGCAGTACTAGATCAGATCTAGTTAAGGGCAAGGCCGAAGGTATTCTGTGAATCCACACTGGATGTAGCCTATAGGCGTCTATATGACTCGTGTTAATTACTTAATAGCAGCGCTCACCATTTTTGTCCTAGATATCAGATCATTGGCACGAGTCGACGCGTAGGGTATAGCACGGGTATGGGCCACACCGCGGGTATGGGGGTCACGGGTATGGCGGGTACGGGTACGGTGTCGAGATGTGGTACCCGTGGTCATACCGTACCCGTTAGCACGGTATACGGGTATGTTTACGGGTGTCTCCGATAGAACCGAGAGTGGAAAGGACGGGACGGCCGAAGAACAGGCACAAGGGGAGATGCGCATCCAAAACGGGCACGGTGAGCGACCTGTCGACGTCGGCTCGCACCCTCTAATGTTTCAGTCCATTTTATCTTATATCACAGTACCTGACGCACGCACCTTATAATCTAGGTATAGAATTTGTTAGTAGAGAGTCTTCAATGCGAATACTGAGATATTCGCACCTTTGTCTAGGTCCCGCCTGTCTGCTTCGATATACATCACTTTAACTCTACATTTCTCAATACTCCCTCCATTCACTCCATCATTATGGTCAATCAGACGGCCTCGATCGCCGAGTCTACACGTTCAGAAACTTCAGATGTATCATCATCGAGTCCACAGTCCATAGCGGCAGACAATGTTGAAAAACGTGTTAAGCTTATCATTCCACAGGTCGAAGCAACCCCCTCCGAGTTGCACTCTCCTGCTCCGGAAGTAATTGATATTGATGAAAATGATGCACCTCCTGCTGCTGAACAGGACGATGAGGCCGATCTAAGTATGTGAACTTATTGCTCGTGTCTGCATGGACCTTGATTAATTTTCACTCACAGACGCACTCAAAAAAACTTGGCGTTCAGCAGTCTATTCTTTTTTAAGCTTGACGCTGTGACTGTCCAGTATCTCGATGGACGTCTAGTTCATTTCTTCCCTTGTGGGGCACGCAAGTGCAAACTCCCTGCCAGGGGTGTCCGCCGCTTCCAGGACTCCAAGGATAAGTCCTCGACTACGAATCTAAGGCACCACGCCAATGGCTGCTGGGGCAAAGAGGCAGTCGATCATGCATTCAGTGGTGGAAAGGTAGTACAGGCCACGAGTGGATCAGTTTTCTCGGCTTTTGCTCGAAAAGGACAACAACCTGTCCATCATACATATCGAATGCACACGAGCAATGAAGTTCGGTAAGTCGACATTTTTGGGCCTTAATAACATCTGACATTATTCACACTGGATTTAGGGCAAATCTCGTACGGTGGATCACAGAGAATAATCAACCTGTGAATATAATCAACGATCGTGCACTTCGTGATCTCCTGCTTTCTGGACGCCCTAATATCGAACTGCCATCACATTTTACAATCTCTCGTGATATTCGGGCGTCATTTGAAAAGTGCCAAGAACGCATTGGTACACTCTTGCAGGTATGTGATCACATACATGTAAATCTCGCCACAGAGTCTCAAGCTGCATACAGGAACATGATGGCCGTCTTCATTTTGCCACCGATGCATAGACTTCCCCGAACCACCGTGCATTCATTGCGTGGACTGTCCATTTGGAACATCAAGGTGAAATGATATCATCCTTGCTCGATATCATTGAGGTCGCAGAGGTCAGCATTTATTCTCGATACTGCTCCAGTTTTCTAATCATTGTGATCCAGTCTCATACTGGTGAAGCCATGGCAAGAGCATTTCAAGCAATGCTCAAACAATTTGGTCTGATGCAAAAGGTACATCTTAGACTATCAGTTCCTTCGCATATTGAATAAATGACAATCAATTCAGATACTCGCACTCAATGCTGACAATGCATCTGCGAATGACACGCAGACAAAATACTTGGCGAAACTCGATAATTCGTTTCACGCTTATAACCGTGTCCAGTGCTTTAATCACACGATTCAGTTATGTGCCAAGGCACTTTTACGTCCATTGAATCCTGGATTGTCAGGAAATCATGATGATGAGGGGGATGTTGATGACGATGACGACAATGACTGCCCACCTCTTGTAATTGTTGATGAGTCAGACGAAGAGATGGACGAGACAGACAGGGATGTAGACGGTGTCGGTTTGAGAGAGGATGATGACCCCGATGACAAGATTGATGAATTAGAAGAGCTAGATGAGCAAGGTCGGTGCACCATCATTGCACAAACGGCCATTGTTAGAGATGCTGTTTCTAAGGTACTCGTTTCTTGACAAAGCTTGCTATCGAGCCTAGCTAGTAGCTGATACTATAATTTTGTATAGATCCGTCTTTTGTCATTTGCAATTATCCATTCAACTACCAAAGCACTCCCTATCTGGCGTTCTCGCTGCAACAAGGCCGGTCTCAAAGCAAACCTTATCCCACGAGACATCGTCACACGGTGGAACTCCACACATGACATGCTGCGTTTTGCAGTCAAGTACCGGAAGCCCATCAAGAAGATTACTGGCGACAAGAAACTGCCCAATTTCCGCAAATATCGATTGGAAAACAATGAATGGACTGTTGTCGAGGAACTTGTCACTGTACTGGAGGTAGCTCACTTAGCCTCTGATCGAGTTATTTTCAGGACTTATTCAATTCAACACTAGCGTTACAAGCAGGCTACACTCTTTTTTTCACGCAACTCGGCCAGTGTCTATGCAATCATACCTGCAATGGACAAACTCGATAGCCATATGAGCAATGTTGAGATGAAAGAGGGGTTCCAACCAGCCATCCAAGCTGCGATGAAACTTGCTCGCAAGAAAATGGATAGATACTGGAAAATGACTGATGACTCAAACACGTATCGCATCGCAACAGGTGAGCATAAGTTGTCAATTGTTTCAATATGAGGTGGTTTGTGCTGACCCATGTCTCGCTAGTTCTCCACCCTGGCCTGAAGCTCGAATATTTCCGACTACAAAAATGGGAAGATGAATGGATTGAGGCTGCCGAAAATCTCATTCGAGAAGAGTACATAGATCGTTACAAAGACCAGGTCTTACCTTCGACTCCAGCTGCACATGTCTTGGCAGAAGACAAGGTGCAACAATGCGCTGATGACTTTGGTGACATATCTCTTGGCATAGCGGCATCTCTAGTAGATGAGCTTGACAACTATTTGTGGCAACCAGTGGAGAATACCAAAGTCCCGCTGCAATGGTGGGTCCATAATCAAAAGACATATCCAAATTTGCACCGGATGGCACTTGATTACCTTAGTATTCCTGGTAGGTTGTGCACCATTGCTCTCGCTAGCATCACAGCTTATGTATCACATACCATAGCTACCTCAACTGCAGTTGAATGTGTATTTTCGCAAGGCCGGCACCTTCTGCACTTTACTCGAAACCGCTTGTCTCCAGCATCAACAGGCTATACTGTGATAATGATACATTATAAAACTAGTAATGTCAGTGTGAGGGTAATACATGAATCATTGAACTACCGAGAATTACTAGGACGTATAGCAGTGATGTATCAGTGGAGGATCCTACCAAGCAGCTGCCAGTCCAGCTTCTTGGCTTCCATCAAGCTTAGTCAAGCACGTACCTTGCTTCCTTTTATTTTTATCCTGTCTTCCTATGCATCTTTTAATTTGTCAGCACCTATTTTCAGTTATACTGGTGCCGGGTCATGCAGCCCACCAGATAATCTATTTTTATCCTATCTCCTATGCATCTTTTATTCGTCAGCACCTATTTTCAGTTATACTGGTGCTGGGTCATGCAGCCCGCCTCCTCGTTCGTTCAAAATCTTCAAATCCCACCTAGTCACCACTCCCTTTATCTTAGACGTCTGTTGGTTTAGTGTTTCACACACCATAATTCCTTTAGATATTTCTCTACAAAAAATATTGTCATATTAGCGCTTATCGATTCCTCAGGTGACTCGAACATGTTCAAATTTCGTGAGTAGGTACTATCCTGCCCTCCCAATGGCTCCACCATGCTTGTGTACCACCCCCGAGCTAGTAACGCTCGGCCCAGCCCAACCTTAAAGAATGTGTGACCTAAGATCTATGTATAGAGATCCGAGTCAGTGATGTATCAGTTGAACTCAAACGCTGCAGAAATTCGACTAAGTCCACCAAGTCAAAAGTCAATACTTCGAGTCGGCTGCGAGCTTGGGCAGTTCAGTCCTTATTATGGGTTTTCCATTCATACAGAATGAGGCATTGAGGCATTAACACGACGGACTCAAGCAATACATACAATGTAGTACATGAGGAAGCCGATTATGGTATACTAACGACCGAAAGAGATGAAAGGATGAGCTACTGTGAGAGGTGAATGAAGAAACAAATGTTGGAGTGTCACTAAGAGGGCTGTTGCCGGGCATATTGTAGTACTGGGAAAAGAGCAGCTATGAATGAACACGAAAGAATTTACCTAAGTTGTACCTATGGCATTGGCAGCAGCCGCCCGGGATGACTGGAAGCATTGTCGTTTACCTCGGCCTCCCTCGATGGGCTGCGAGTTCTCAGTGGGTAGGACCACTGCACCCTCCCTCTTCTGACGCTTTGCAGAGACTGTCTCATTGCTCTTTGTGGACTTGCGTTTAGCAGCCTTCGTTGTCGCTGGTAACACCTGTTACGCACTCAAATAGATCTGTTAGGTGGAGCCCTAAGAGGGGCGTCGTCCGCTAACGTTCGTGACGTAACCGGAAGGGTCCGGTATAGCAAGTGAGACTGGCGACGATAAGTCAGCAGCGATCACAGTACGCGCGTGTCACGTGACTTCGTAGACAGAAGTCTGCGAGGTCGCTCAAGGCAAGGACTGTCCTGTCCGTACGATGAGGTCGATCGAGGTGGACTTAGTCGCGAAGAGCGACTAAGAAAAGATACTAGAGACTGAAGCTGAGGGGGCTTCAGAGGGAAGTATGTTCCAGGGAAGATTGAGTAGATTCAAGTTAGAGAATCTAGTACAGAGTGACCGACTACTTATACTAAGTGGAGAGGGTTAAGGGCAAGGCTACCGCACAGTAGGTAAGGGTAAAGGGGAAGCGAGAATGGTATAGGTGCGCTGGCATCAGAGCCTGATTAGTGGTGGATGGTCGAATGTGGAATGAGACCGAGAAACGTTGGAACGGACCAACGGTAAGAATACAACGTGCGGGAATCCGCAGTCAGGGGAAACAGAAAGAGGAAAGCCACATTGGTGGCACGAGTCAGACCGAGTCAGAGGTGCGGGACCACATTGGTGGTCGAATCAAGAGAGGAACGTGCGTGCACGTGCATAGAGGCGAATGATGCGAGGGACGGGAACGGTCCCGAGGATCCGGTCAACAGAGAGTCGGTAAAGGAGGACGAGCCGGTAGATGGTGAGGGCGAGGATGAGGGGAAAATGATAGGGGGGCCACGTGACCGATGTTACTTGTAACAACACCTTACCAACTGTGGCAGGCGGAGAAGGAGTGGCCATAATAGGTTCCATGGTGGGAGGTTCAGGCACAACTGAAGATGGTTGCACAGAAGGGATTTCTACCGAAGTTGGAGAATGCGCGAGAGTAGAAGTTGCCATGGGAGCAAAGGGATTGTTGTTTGGGGCAGAAGCGTAAGAATTGGCAGTTGCAGTTTTTGTGAGAATGGATGATATATGGCAAAGACGAGGAGGAGATGCTTGGCTCTGCAAAGTTGTGAGGGCGTTGTCAGAGTCGTGTCCCAAGGGACCAGCAGAATTAAGGTCTCCCAATCTCGAGGTGGAAGTTAGAGGAGATAATCTCGAAGAAGCAAACCAATCCATTCCAGAGGAAGTGGATGAAAACTCCATTGGAGAAGAGGGAGGTAACAGAGATGGCGGCTTGTAGTTGGGCGGCATCGGTAGGATTGTACTGTTGAAGTCTAGATCAACGTCGTCATCTTGAAGATCGGGGGGATCAAATTGGAAAAAGTTGTAAGCGGATTGCAACCGGGATGGTACTGACGCCATGAATGATGTATCGGTAGTGAGCAATGTATCGGGTGAGACAGTAGCAAGTGATGTATCGGGTGAGACAGTGGCAAGTGATGTATCAGGTGTGGAAGAGGATGCGGAAGAGATGGTAGCGAGTGATATATCAGCTGTGACGGAGTTATGGGAGTTATGGGCTGGCAGTGCCTGTGTGTCTGATATATCAGCTGTGACGGAGTTATGGGAGTTATGGGCTGGCAGTGCCTGTGTGTCTGGCAGTGATGTATCATTCTGGTCAGGCGTAGTGGTTCCCTTTGATAATAATAATGCAGCGTCGGCTACATCTTGATCAGCTTCAAACAGAGACGCCAACCATTAGATGACTCACGAAATGCTTGAGATGCAAACTCAAAGTAAGGCACCATGATACTCTCCTCAAATTTCAGATATGCTTGATTGAACCGATTGCCAGCAAGGGTCGTTCCAATATGCAGGCTACTGACATCGAGTTTGCCGGCGTTCGCAGGGTCAGGACCAGCTAGTAAGATGCTGAATGTCCATCCCGTCAAATCGTGTAACTCGGTGAAAAACGTGGACAGTATTTCTGTAAGTCTGCATATAACCCTGCCTACCATCAGTGATAATGAAGTGAGATAGTCAGCGTCACTCACAACTCCTTCGGCACCTCCTTCTTGTCAGGTATGGCTTCTTTCTCTTTCTTCCTCTTTTCCTTCATCTCTTGGGCCAATTTCGTGACCTCTTCCTTCACCTGCGCACTTTCGTTCTCCCAGCAGGATGCTAGTTGTTTGCGGACAACCTGAATCGCCCGCTTTTTGGGTTCAGGTGCATCAACTGCGTTCTTCATGGCATCGAGTTCCTCCTTGACTGCAGGCTGGACACGCGATGAGTAATACTTCTTGGCATAAACCTCTGTTGCATTGAGGGGGCGCGATTTCTTTTTGCCTGACTTGATGGTGATATCGCCAATCAGCTTGCTGACGATGGTATTCCCAGCGGTGTTTGCCCGGCGGCCTATCTTCGAATTACCAAAGTCATTGCGTAGTTTGACCATCAAACACTAGTTTCATACGTGATTAGCCAATATTTCAATACATTAATTAGGATACAAATCTTACCGTCTGAAGGGCATCCCTTGCCTTAGCCATCTGCTTGAGTCTTGCGTTCTCATCAAGGGGCTCTAATGAGCCTTCCAGAGTGATTGGCCAACATTCTTCCCACTTCTTGAAAAAGGGGGGCCAGAAAGAGTTGTAGTTCCCTTTTTTTTTACACTCGAGAAAGCTTTCATGGTAGGTGAGCACAAAGGTTTGCTGCTCCTCCGAGAGCCAACTACGTGGTGCCATCTTAAATGACTACTCGTCAGTGTACTAACATCAAGGTAATCTACACGTACTTTTACTGATTTGTCACATCGCGTGAGATGCTCTAGATAAAAGTTAGACACAATGAAAAGGATCAGTCAGACGTGTACTGATTCCTTCAGCCACAGGCGCGATAAGTACTCCCAGAAATGGTTGTCCCATTGCGCCATGACCAGACCAATAGACTCAGAGATAGTACATGAGCATCTTCGCAGAAAGATTTGTGCATAGCATGTTTCACACTGCAAGTTGCTGTCACCAATCGATAGTCCCACGGACATAGATAGAAGCATGGTATATAGTCCCACGGACATAGATAGAAGTGCATGGTACTAGTACTAGGTAGTAGGTATACTAGGCGGGGAACTTGTATTCCTGGTACCACAATTCACCCTCCATGAAGGCAACTGCTAGTTCACTGTCTCCGCCTTCCGCCAGACGCAACAAGATGTCTTCCACCATCCCTACCATTTCCCTCATGAATTTGCAGATGGCATCTGCAGCACGCCACTCATCACAAATACCACACATCTGAAGGATACCATCCAGTCCGCCGTTCGCTCTGTCAATAAAATTTTCGAAATTTTCAATAGCGTGTTCGAAGATAGATTTGTCTCCGCGCCCAGTAGGATCTAAATCAGGGTCAGGCATAGTCTTGGAGTACTCGTCCATGAGGAGGTCAAAGAATCGTCATGGAGATTTGATATGCGCCATGAAGTCGTCCTTGGCATAGTTGACCGCGGCAATGCAGTCTTGTAAGGTTTCACTGTTGCTAATGTCAGTTACATTGAGATATGTAAGTCAAACCCGCACGACATTGGTTCATCTTCGTCATCCAAAGGATTGTTGACCGGACAAAGTTTTTTTTCTTTGCGTACCTGACGCCGCTTTGCTAGTATAGCCTCTCGACACCTGGAATTCTCGATTAAAGCGACTCAAAGACACCGTCGGTGTATTGCTTACTTTAGATAGTGTCGTCTACGCTTGTCTCTTGCAGCTTGTACTCTATCTTGATGAGTTTTATGAATAGTTGGGCGTACCATACTGAAGAGCAGTGAAAGTCAGAGGGAAGAACGCAGCATTTAAAACGAAGTACTCACATTTGTTTGGACCAAAACAATGAGTCTTCGATTTGCCAATGAAGCACACGCGCCGATGATGGTCGGACCATAACACATGGTGCATTGAGGGACCCGCTGCCTCAACGAAATGTTGATATACAGATACCTATGTGTATGAATCAGTGTGATATGTATTGCAGCGAGTACTTACAGGACCAAAACAACGAGTCTTCGATTTGTCGATGAAGCACACACGCCGATCCAGATGGTCGGACCATAACACCTGGTGTGTCAAGGGACCCGCTGCCTCAATGAAATGTTGATATAAAGATACCTATGTGTATGAATCAGTATGATATGCATTGCAGCGAGTACTTACATTTGTTTAAACCAAACCTTTTTAATTGGTGAATGAAGCACCTGCGAGGATGTGCGAAGATGGTCGGACCATAACACAATCTTAAGACGTTGTGACTGAGAGAGACCTGCTAGCTAGGTAGAATGCTAGTGGAAAGATAAGTGTGAGTGTGATATGTGTTATGGTAGTGCTGCCTCGCGAGAAATATCATTCTGGACTTACCTAGTGTTCAAATGCCCAAGTCCCCCTAAGTTCTAGTAAAGTCAGTAACAAGATCGTCCTTGACAAAGGTTGAACCGATAATCAATCAACAGCAAGTAGTCGTGCAGATATTGTAACAAGACAGCTAAGCAGGATGACTTGTAGAGTGACATGGTCCTTCACCGAGAACCATTCAGCTAAGATACAGGCTTGCAATGGCGAGAATGATATGTTGTAGGATGCGGTAGGACCAAAACATATGGTAGGACCGAAACTTAGAATTAAGTATTATTAATAGCTAGCCTATGGCACATGGGCTATTTTTGTGCGGGTTGTGCTTCCAAAGGTGTTCTGTTCAAATTTTCACTGTGCTCCTCTGCTTGCTCGAACAAATATAATAGCTTGGTATTGACAATTGCGCAGTGTGACTACTAAGACTAGACTACCTGTGCCACCTCACCGTGTTCTATGGCGCGCTTCATAATCCCAATACCAAGCTCAAGAGATTCTGCCTTGTGATATATGGCGCGTGAAACCCCGAGCACCTTGGGGCCAGTAGCATCCCTGTCCAAAATGAATTAGTGAATGAAATGAACGGAGCACGTCTAGACTTACCATCCTGAGAAGACCCCAATATAACGACCCCTCGTTATGTAGTACAGTGGGGCGGTGACTTCAATGGGCACATTGAAGTACGTGCTGTTGTGATACTGAAGGGTGGAATTATCAGCGAGGGACGTAGCTGCATTAGCAGCATCCTCATCGTCGGATGAGTCCCCGTCATTGAGCATGAGGATGATGACGGGCTCATGCTCATGTCCTATGGCTGGGGCAGGGGCAGGAGCAGGAGGAGCTGCAACGATGGCAGGGGAATCATCTGGAGCAGATGTGGGATCTTCACTGCCCAAAGGAGCTGTGAGACTGGCAACAGGCCCTGCGACATTGTTAAAACAAAATTAGTAATAATAAATCAAAGAAACCAGGCGGATCCACCTTCGGTAACATTTGGACTGGTGCCAGCCTGCAACGCAGCTGATATTGCTGTCCTGTCGTCGAGACAAAGACCCTGCAAGATGCCAATGAGGCCATCCAGTTGAATGGACACCATAGTGTCCGTCTGACTGGAGGGAGATGGGCTTTGAGACATGTTAACGAGGCTGTATATTGAGTGGAGGAGGATGCGAAAAGTGAATGATACATTACTCACCAGGACAGGTATTTATGCAGCAAGTGCTCTCGTAATTTGATCCTCAAGAACTCATTGTAAGTCCATGGATATTGATCAGAGGAGGTGTGGTATTGACTTATGGAACGACTCGGACATGAAATCTCGGCTGACTAAGCTCATGCGGATCAACAGTGACTCGGATTCACCGTCGTTAACGCCATGATCGAGATCATGATCAGACTGCGGATCATTCACCTTGCCGTCGTCCACGCCATGATCATAATTGAAGCCTTGATTTCTGTTTCAGACGCAGCTTATATGGTGTCTGCTGCAACAGGTGACCAGCTTGTTTCTACTCCAAGGACGGTGAGTTTTGTGCCCATTAGAATTATTACGTGGAGCATTTACCTCTTGAATTACATGTACAACTCTATGTTCTATTCTGAGCCCAGTGAGTCTTTATTCTCCTTGTCATTACATGGAGTATTTACTTACTGCTTGAAGTATCATGATTCTCCGTGCTTCTTTTTGGCTTTGGAGTCTTGAACGCTGGCCCTGGTCGACGACTAGGTGTAATGTCGCAGGGACGCTCAGCCAAGAGTTCCCGGATTGAACGTACTCGTTTCATACCCTCCGCCGCTAATACTCCACTGTTGCAGTTACGCACAGTAGGAATCACTACTCAGGGTCGCACCCAACTACATACACATTATGTTCCCGCTCCCTCTCTCTCCATTTTTGACTCCTCAGATGCTGGTTCTGACGCAGGCCCGTGGGATGGTTGGGATGAATTGTCCCTGGAACAAGAGGAACCACAAGAGATTGATTGTCAGCTTGACAAACGCAAATGCACTGCTGCAGTGAGTATCGTCGGCCTACAATTATCACACAAATTAAACATCATATATCAGGATACACCATTGCTAGCATGGATCCCCGAGCGTCAGGCCTTCCTGGATGAAACCTTGCACCTTGAAGGTCATGGAAATGCAGGGATCTCATGTCGTTGTGGCCTTGCTGCACCCCTTTTCAGATGTCGTGATTGCTTCGGCACACAAATGTTTTGTCAAGAGTGCGTGCTTCAAAGTCACGCGAATAACCCTTTGCACAGGATTGACGTACACATTTTTATTTGCTAATATTAAAGACTGACAGGTCCCTCTAAGATGTGGAACAACTTATTTTTCCAGTGCAGCACCCTGAAACAAATGGGTCTTCGTGTGCAGCTAGGACACGAGCCAGGCGAGACATGCTACAACCCTTGTCCCTTGGCTGGTGATGACTTCGTTGTCATCGACGTCCATGGCGTGCATGAGATCACACTGGACTTTTGTGGCTGCGCAAGCGCTCAAATCCGCTACAAGCAGTTACTTCACGCACAATGGTATCCAGCAACTACGTCGGATCCTCGGACTGCTGCAACCTTTACTCTACTGGAGCACTTCCACATCCTGTCTTTCGAGAGCAAGGTGTCAGCATATGAGTTCTACCATTCACTAGCGAGACGAAACAACAACGCAGGCCTGTCGCACATACGAGTAAGTAGCCACAATGTATCAGTCCTGCGAGTTACTGACATGAGACTTAGGATCGTTACTCCGCATTCATGCGTATGATTCACGAATGGCGACATCTCAGGCAACTCCGTCGTGCAGGGAGAGGCCATGACCCTGCTGGCGCCAAGGCCATGACTGCGGGCGAATTAGCCGTGCTGTGTCCGGCATGCCCCCATCCTGGCAAGAATCTACCGCAAGACTGGCAGAATGTGCCATTATTGGTTAGGTATGTAAAAAAATAAATTCAGCGGCAATTACAACTGATGGGCTGATGTTATTTGTAATGTAGGTGGAAATACGCTCTATTCATTGCAATTGATGCCAACTTCCGGCTCAAATGCAAGGCAGTATCTTCGGATAATAGAGATCCCAGCCTGAACTCCGGGTGGGCTTATTTTGTTGAGGAGGCGGCGTACAAGTCATATTTGGCTGATCAAGCTGGCGCAAAGCAAGATGTAAGTAATATTGTGACATGCAACGTTTGACTAATAGTATCCCAGCGCAGTACATGTGTTAGTCATAATGCCGTCAATATGGCAGACACGAAGTCTTCGCATGGCCTGGCGGCAACAGGCATTGGCGCAGTCGATTGCGCCAGGCATGACATGAAACTTGCGAATGGGGTCGGTGACTTGCAGAAAGGCGAAAAGTGCGTTCAATTTTTATCTAATGTCATGAGCATCGCTGATAAATGGGATATATAGATACATTAACATGGATTATCTCATGTTCTCGGCACTCCTGGCCTTCGCGGTAACAATGATCAATATTTCTTACGACATCACATGCCAGTGGCATAAAAATCTTTGGACACATATAGAAGCTATGCCGCTGAGGTTACACATTTCTCATACTTCCATGACTGTCCGGTTTTTTGTTCCCAAATTCCATCTGAAAGTGCACATTGACCAATGTCAACGAAACTTCTCCTTCAACTGGTCAAAACACGTGGGACGAACCGATGGCAAGGCTCCTGAGCGCAGATGGTCCAATATAAACCGGGTCGCGACGAGCACAAAGGAAATGGGTCCGGGATCGCGTCGTGATACCCTTGATGATCACTTCGGGGATTGGAACTGGAAGAAAGTTACAGCACTAGGTCTGTATTGTTTATCTGTTGGAATATTTTGGGCTTATTCGTTAATAGGCCGGACTCTCTTGCGCAAGATCAGTGACGCTGTTAAGTGGAAGAGGGAGCATGGGGAAGGACTGGCAGAGCTAGAGAGGACCATTCAGCCTATGCTCATCCTTCAGTGGAGGAAAGAGGTCGAGGCTTGGGAGGAGGACGGCTCTCAACGTAATCCATTTGAGAGCCGATATGCTCGTGA